TATAAAAATACAAATACATTTCTTAAATGACTATATAGATAAATTTGACATATTTATTGGAATGAACATAAATTATAAAAAATTATAATAAATATAAATAGAATATATTGTGGAATGAATGTAATTTTAAAAAGGTAAAAATTTTGGAGAGAAAAAAATTAAATTTTATTTGAAAATGTAACTGATGAGAAAATTAAGGATGCTTACCTTTTTTTGAAATATTCTCTCCCTTAATTTTCTCCCTTTTGTTATTAAATAATTATATTCTTTAGATAAAAATAAATAATAAAAAAGATATACAACAAACTAAAATATGACATTTTTACTAAATATTGAAAGTGTTGCTAATGAGCCCTTTTAAATGCTAAAATATTTACATTTTGAAAAATTTCCCTTTATTTTATTACTTTTTTTTTAAAAAGCTCATGGGTCATCCAATTTTGGGTTGGCCAAAATTTATCTTTTTAGTTTTTTTTTTTTAAAATGAGATTGGTATCAAAACACACTTAAAATATTTTTTTAGTTTCATATCTAAACTATTGAGAGTTTAAATTTCATACATAAACTGTCACTTTTTAATTTGAGAAACACATGTCTTTGTTTTATATCACTCTCATCATATTATGTGTAATACACTCTCTCTTTTTTTAAAAAAAAATTGTCACATCGCACTCCATATGTACAAAAAATTCTTTGATAAAAAATAAATAAATTACTAATATTGGTTTAAATTTTAAAATAAAAAGTTATTATCCAAACTAATAATATTTCTTTGATAAAAAATTAAATATAAAATATTTTTCTTATCCCACTCCATCACTTCCACTCACCTCCCTCACCCCGATAATTTTTTAAAAAATTATTTTTGCTTAAATTTCGTTTATAAAAGTATTTTTTTACTTCATCCCCCCTCCCCCCACCTTAAATACTAATTTGGATATTATTTTTATTTTTTTTAAAAAAAGAATATTTCTACCCACCCCATCTAATCCTCCGCTTTCAATTTTTTTTTCATTTTATATATGTTTAATATATACATATCGAAAATATTTTTTTACCAGCGACTGCAATTTTTTCCATTTATTCATGTTATATTCGTACACTAGTAAAATTTCCCCCCCTAAAAATATATGCTAGTACATATCTAACACAAAAATGAGAAAAAATATAATAAAAGAATAGTTAGAAGCAGAGGGTAAAAGTAGGATGTGATAGAATTTTTAATTCAATAAAATAAAATAATATCAACTTTTTTGGCAATGGTGAAGTGCGATATTTTTTAAAAATATTTTATAAAAGTTTTGTTTTTTTTAAAAAAAGGTTGGGGGGATTTGGGGGGGGGGGGGTTTATATGGAGAATGGAGTGGGGTAAAAAATTAATTAATTTTTTTTAATGGATAGTAATATTTTAATTTTCAATTTTAAATTAATATTAATAGTTTATTATTTAATGTTTGTCAACGTAAAATAAAAGAGACAAGTGCATTACACTCAGCACCGAAATGTATTTATCAAACTAACAAGTTATAGTTTAGATATGGAACTCAAAAGAAAGAAATATTGTTGGTGTGTTGTTTTTGACTCTAATTTCTTTTTTAATCAACAAAATTGACCTATATATATATATATATATATCACCTTAGAGCATCAACCTCTAAAATAAATGTTAAATTACTTAAATGCCCCAAACTAAAAAACTCGGTCGCTCTCTTTTCCAGCCCTACCACCTAGAACAGTAAACCCCTTGGCTAAAGAGTCGTGTCTACAAACACTCACATTCTGAACAGACGCCAATAAGATCTCATTGATAACAGATGAAATTTATGTTTTGCATCCTTTTGAAACCATTATGAGAAAATGACCTTTTCTCAGCAGCCAACATCCGATTTCAGCAAAAGAAGAACAGGTATGTTTTATTACATCCAGATCGCCAGACTTCTGCTTTACTAAAACAAACCTTCCCATTCACTCTGTTTATCGGTTTTTCCATTATGTGCAGACAATTCTCACCAACCTTGATTCTTCTCTAGCAAAACATGCGTCAATATTGATTTACCCTATGGCAGCCATCGTGCAAGAGTTGTAAGTTCCCACCTGCACAATTTGTATTTGTTCGCCAACCTTTATTATGGCCGATTAAGATCCCTACCCTGTCAAAGTTCTGCTAGTCAAAACAGATAAGAATCTTATGAGGCGATGTCCTCCCCACTGCTTCTTTGTGAATCTCTTGGTACTCACATTAACTTACGATTCATCATTGTAACGGAAAACTGGCAAATATTATTTACATTGTTAGTCTGGAACATAATTGAGTTGAACTGCTGCCTGCAAATTAAAGTGTACAGGACACTCATTAACGTTGGTCCTTCCCCTTGAGCGACCAACTGCTATTTGTTCAAAGGGAAAAAATAACACCCTGTCGTCACAACCATATTATTTGCCCTATATAGCTTACAAATGTGATTATGTTTGCAACAATATGAACCGGTTATTCACTTACGTCCATCTCAACATTGATAATACTCAATCCCTTTTTACTGTTAATACCATTATACAAATCCTATAATATACTTTCTGTTTCATATGACATTTTCTAATACATATTAAAATTTTGTGCTGTTTACCTGTGATGTTAGATGTTTGTAATTACAAGACTTTGGTGAGACTTTTCCAGAAATTCTTACTTCTTTTTTTGCTCAACTTTACTAGAATTCAGTATGCAACGGATGTACTGCCAAATCTATGTATGTTTTCTCACCTATATTAAATCCAACTAAAACACCACTCTGTATATGCTTCAACATTCCTTCTTTTTATACACATTCTTATGTTTAAAACACATAATGAACTTTCAAAATGACAAACTTCTCAATACTCCTCTGTTCTACTAAACTGAGTACCAACTTCTCGTGTTATGTATGCTTATGCAAAATTTGTAGCTTTAGTTAGTAGCAATCAACATGAATGGACACTTTGTTCTGTCTGATTCTTACCCCTTTGAAAATAACAGAATAGATACCTAACATGGTAAGTCAAAAATCATCAAACTTTGTATGAACTGTTGCCATTTCCTCATATTTTATGATAGAATTTGTATAATTTATTCACTACGCTCACACCTAGATAGCGCATTTTGGTCTATTTTGGTTAGTTTCTTTCCCAAAACACAGTAAACAATATAACATAGTACTTGGACAACCTTTGGTTTCTGTAATAGTAGAACTTTTTGGTGTATTATGTTAATTTGGTTAACCAGTTATGATTAGTTTGCTTATTGACAAGCTTGGTTGTAGTTATTATATACCATTATAGATGTTTGGTGTCATTTGACTTGTGAATTCTACGTTCTGGTGCACTTGTTCCTGAATTGTTTGTGAATAGTGGGGTATATTTTGATGGTTGATTGAACTAATTGTCCTCAACCTTACATACTATGAAACTTGGAGGTATAAAGCTGGCTTTTGTATTCTACAGATTCCAACTTTGAACCTATTTGAATGATAATGTCTATCTCAACAAACTCCGCCTCCAACCCCCACAAGTTGCCAACTATTACATTTGGCATGAAGAGTAATAAAGCATTGAAACAAATAGATATCATCTAGATGAATGTTTTCTCTAATAAAGTATTTGATCTGGTGTGAGAGGCATATATTATGCAGACTTATCTACTATGCATAATTCGACTAATATTTTGTATTAGCAAAAATTATGAATCAATTTTTCTAAGATATAAAACTTGGCAAGATGTTCACACGAAATAATACATATCCAGTAAGTATGATATAAATCAAAGGGGGTCATTTTGTATGAGCGATTTAGATTTCCAAAGATTCAAAACTTGGAAAAATATTATCAGTACATATAAAAATTATTATGAGATAAATTAAAAAACTAGCCTTTAAAAATGGACAGTGGAAAGTTGGCTTTGTTAAAGTTCAATGATTTTGTATTATTGTTATTATTATTATTGGGCAAATAATTAACTACACATACATATCGAGATCAGAAGTGCATTTTGATAATATTTTAATTATTTTATAAAGTATATATTGCATACCATGATATACACATGTGTGAAGAAATTAGTCATAATTATTTGAACAGTCTATGCTCCATCCGTGGAAAGTTGATCATAATAAAAAAAAAAAGTTGCAACCTTTAAGTTCTTTCTCTAATCTTGAGCACACATAAATTTTACTGGAATTTGCATATTAGTTTTTGGCCTTATATTATTCATATAGTAAAAATCATTATAAGTAGTTATTTTATAATAACTATGTATACCATTTTTTTAAAAACAGCTAAATCAATTACCATTGAGCTTTGCAATGATGATTAAAAAATGGCGGGGACAAATAGTTAGTTGTTTTTATTTTAAATAATCAACTAAA